GCACGATTCCGACACAAGGAATCCTATAATATTTAATTATCCTGCAAGACAATGATAACTTTAATTTGGTATTATCCGCGACGACATTCCGCTAACATTTGAGGCGTGGCGTTGCCATATAAACGTTACAAAATGAAATAGAAACTAAACGAAGACAGAAATAACTAATTTGAAATCAAAAGGAAATTAAAATACAAATGATATAAATCTATTGTACCTGAAGAATGAGCCTCGTGCATGAAACATAGCTAAACCTCAAATGTCTCATGGGTATACGCTGACCGTGTATCGATACGAAAATAGAAAACAAGTTATTAATTAAAATCAAATGCGAGCGAGTTACGTAATGAAGTGCGAGCGCGTTTGATTGAAAGTCTTACCTATTTCAAATTAAACGTCATATAATCTGTGATAAGATATAAATCAATTAAAGCGGATCATCCTAAACATACTGAAACAACATGTATCAGCCACTAAGCAAAAGCTCTAGCGATTTTTCCTGTTGTAGGATTGAAATAGTCCAATGGCTGTAAGAAACTATGAGTACCATGTGATATAATTTCTGAAAAAAGCTGAAGAGGGTAAAAGATAGCCTTTGAGACAATCAAGCCATCCTTGACTCTAAATTTAATTACTCTTGTTTTTTCTAAGAGGCGATTTTCTCAGACGCTAACAGTTGTATTATTTGGCTCAGCAATTGACACATACAGTAATCTCTGATCAGCCGGGGTCTCAACAAAGGTACAAAAAAAACAAAAGAAATGATGATAAATTGGTTCTGTTCTGCTTTCATCGCGAATTTTTTTTTGTGAGGATTATAATTGGGTGTTTGAAAGTGTTAAAATTGTGGATTATTTTTTCGCATGTACTAAGGGTTTTAAAGTAATTTTCCTTCTGCTTGAATATGGCAAGGGATATAATTCATTTAAACTATACATAGTGTGGCTAATCTTGTTCAGCTAATCTTGTAAGTTATATTTCCACATGTCTAATCATCCTTGATAAGCAAGATGCTTTCAAAAAGGTATAAACAAAACAAAAGAACGAAGGGTTAATAGACCATCTCAAAGGTTGTTTTGAAAGTAATATTGAGTAATTGGGAATGGAACTACTGAAATTGTAAGTCATTTTTTCCCTGGTAGTAAAAGTTCGAGATTAATTATCACATTACTCGAATAAGGAAGGTAGAATAATTCGATGAAATCCTGAATGGTGTTGTTAGTCTTGGTTTATATCATTTTTCCTAAAAATTCTGATCCAGGAGAATGATTTTCTGCAATAAAGTACCTTAACTGCGACTCTTTCCTTGGCATTTTTATGAAATTAGTGTTCCAAAAATGCCATCCATTTTGATTTGTGTTTCCTATAATCTCCGTTTCTTTGTCTCTCCTTTCAGCCCATGAACCAACTATGTCGGAATGGAAACGACTTTTGGTAAATCGTCCGAAATTAAAGGAGGCTAACAAATTTCCTTTCGCGCAAAGTATCGCAACTTTCGAGACCTTCCATGTAAATTCCCGTGCTACAGTTCTTGGCGATTTCGATGTATCACACAATTGACGGCGACACACACAGACTGGGGAGTTCAGAGGAAGCTGAATTCCATTCTTCTATTTTCGTTCAAATCGAGAAATGACCCCTATCTTTCATATAAAAAAGTATCAAGGGAATTACATTTTGACTTTATCCATACTGTCCTTTCATGTCCTCACTTAACAAAATTTGCAAGTTTTTACTTTGTGGAGTCCTGCAAGCTGTGAATCAATCCAGTTTATGCATCATTTTCTCATAGCACAGGGTCTATATCGCATTTATTATCACGGGAAGGTAAGATCTGTTATTAGAAGATCAACAAATGCGTTCGAACGATCGAAAAGGTACTTTTGTTAATTGTGGAAATTCTGCAAATAAACTTTGACAAGAGTGATATCTCTACAAATACATTGATTTGTATGAATTCTAAACAGTTACTGGGAAAGAGGTACGAAACGATGCCGGGGTGAATTTATTTGAGCATGATATGCTTTCATGTACCTTTCAGTTCGATTTAGACTCTAATTTTGAGATCTTTCCTTTAAATGGATCAATTTGTTTACGCAAATTAATATTTTAGGAAGGGTCTCCCGAGATCTCGCTGGCATACATAAAATCCAATTTTAATTTCCATATTTTGTCTTCAAACTAACTGAATACATCTAATGATTTTGAACTAAGTAGAATTTGGAGAATAACAACATTTCAGACGCTGTGCTTCACAAAATCGTCAAGTTTTTATTTTGGAAAAAATTCCTCACAGTTTATAGCCAAAAATTCAACTTTGATCAATACAAATGTGTTTTAAACTCTTTTCATGAGCATGAACTTTCACTCTGTCCCAATGGCCTAGAAATTTCATTAAAATATTCTGACAAGAATACCTCAGATAAATCCAATTGCGCCTACTGTCATTCATCATAGTTTTTTTTTATGTTGCCAATTTCCGCGAGTGACGTTGTTGTGTAAACAAAGGCATACAGTTGAAGTTGATGACTTTAGCTTTCAGCCAATTATGATATAGCGTGTAGGGGATCAATTCCAGGCTCGTATAAGCGACTTTTGTATTAACTAATTGAAATTTTAACGGCATAAATTTACATGGAAAGGGATATGGGAATAGAAATCTATCCAGATGTTACAAGACAGGTGAGAATTAGCTTACCACTATTTTAATTCCAACCTTAGTCTGTTGACACGAGTATTTATCGTTAATTCTGACATACGCGAACATCGGTTAGTCGAATCGATCAGGAAAACCAGTATCTCCTGGATCTACTGCAAAGAAAAAGGTTGGTTTACCCTAAATATCAATTCAAGCTTAGTTCCCTAGCTTTCTTTTACTGATTGTGTTTGCATCGCAGGGGTCAGATTAAGAACGTTTCTCAATTTTGAAAGCGTTATACACGTCTGTTCTTACTAACGTGCATTGCGGAGGTAGACGATGTATTTCTACTGCAATTAGAACTATGATAACAGACTGCAAGATGGATTTGAACTAACATACAATTTCTGCAATCACATGAACAAAACTAAGCTCTACGTTAGTTGTCTAATATATCAAACCTCCTCCTGCCATGATACATGTTTGTTCAATCAAAGTGATTGGATTCAAATGATAAACAGAGTTGCAGCTATGAATAGAAAGTTTCAGTGTATTCGCTTCAGTGACAATATGGAATATTGCTCTGATAACAATCGAAGACCAGAAACGTGGATCTTCTTTAATTTCTTCGACGATTTGAAAAATTGAAGTTGGCAATTTTATGCAGTGCGAACCTTGTGCTCTTCGCACAAACAAGGGAGGCACACAAAATAGTAACAAATTTCATTTGACCTGCGGATGAAAATGACAATCGAACACAAATCTAGGTAACTAAAATATCTCTGGGATTCATTTGCTAATAACACATATAGAGGAAATAATCACAAATGAAACCATCAAAGCGGCAACAGAGTTAGAAGCTTGTGCAAAGAATAGATGATTAGTTTAGTTTAGTTGATGTACGTGATCAAAAGGAACAAATTTTTCGGCATGGATTTGTTCAAAACTGTCATGCCTATTCCTCGCCATATCTTGTGGGTCAATTTTATACAAATTTTCCTTAGATCAGCCTTACTAACGGCTAAACGGAAGTCGCCTATTAACAAGTCGATCTCTTCGAGTTATGATTAAAATGAATTTAATTAATATCTACAGCGGCTGCAATGTCAAGTGTAAATAAAAAATAAAAATAAAAGTGCAAAGATATATTCCTTGCTACTACTGACACTTGATATTAGTTATTTCAATTATAATTTATTTTAATCTTTAGAAAAGATTTCAACCTGCTTTCCGGCAGAGTTAATGTTCACTGTCAGTCTCGTTGTTTACTTACTCTACTTTAGTATGTAATGTTTACCACTGTATATCAAGGTAAGCCATGGTAAGCCATGCCAAGCCTACTAAATTGTACGAGCCTGGAATTAACAGATGTCTTGGATGGGTAATCTTGAAAATCTTTCCTGACCTATCAAGGAATTAGAAATAATTTAATAGGTATATTCAAATGATAGTCACAAGACATGTCAGCAGTGAATGATAAAAATGTATAATAACAATAATGCAGCCAAACGAAGGCTGACTCTTAGGTCTCCCAGTTTGCCGCTCTTTCCTCGGTGTCCAATCAATGAACTCAAATCCTTGCATTGGAGATCACAAAAACATGAGGGAGCCGAAACTTCTCACGTTATTCTCAATAGAGTACACGAAAATTTAACTCAGGTTTTGAAAATCTGAGGTTCGAACATTCCTTGACAGGTCTGCTTTTCAGCTCTGTCACCAAAATGTTTATCTTTATCACGAAGGAACACAAAAAAATAATTTTTTGTTTTATTGACTAGCACGTGTGTGTGGATACAAAGTGTGATGCAGCCATAAAAAAAGGTATGTGCGGATGGTGGAACGAGAAGGCCTAACATCACGACCAAACTTTATCATCTTGTTAAAATAACCGTATTTTCTTACTTATGCGCTCCGCTATAACTCTTAAAAAATAAAACAAATGTATTTTTTAGCGCTGGGATTTATGTTGTCGATATTTGATACCGTTAAAAAAACGTTGTTTTAACTCCATGTAAATCATCATTTGTAAATACGGGACAATATTTTGATATTTAAAAACTGTTCTATGAAATTATTATATTACATGAACCAGAAAATGAAATGAAATGGAATTTTCAATTCGAAGGACCCTCTCATTCTATCCAAAAAAATGAAGAGTTTTCAATGAAGTCAGCAATGATAACCACTGTTCGCGATCCAGAGGACGTATGTTGCCCCTTTGCAGCAATAAACGCTGTGGCCCCCATCATAGCTGTTTTTTTAAATTTCACACAGGGTTCCACCGGTTGCATAGCATTCCCGGGGAAATATACGACAATTTGAACATTTACATACATGCTTCATTGGGATGAGCAAGGGATCA